TGTGTGTGTGTGTGTGTGTGTGTGTGTGTGTGTGTGTGTGTGTGTGTGTATACACCACATCTTCTTTATCCATTCATCTATTGATGGATATCTAGGCTCTTTCCATAGTTTGGCTATTGTGGACACTGCTGCTATAAATATTGGGGTGCAGGTGCCCCTTCGGGTCAATACATTTGTATCTTTGGGATAAATACCCAGTAGTGCAATTCCTGGTCATAGGGTAGCTCTATTTATAACTTTTTGAGGAACCTCCATGCTGTTTCCAGAGTGATTGCACCAGCTTGCATTCCCACCAACAATGTAGGAGGGTTTTCCTTTCTCCATACCCTCGCCACATCTGTCATTTCCTGACTTGTTAATTTTAGCCATTTGAGTGGTGTGAAGTGGTATCTCATTGAGGTTTTGATTTGGATTTCCCTAATGCCAAGTGATGTTTAGCACTTTTTCATGTCTCTGTTGGCCATTTGGATGTCTTCTTTGCAGAAATGTCTATTCATGTCTTCTGCCTATTTCTTGATTGGATTATTTGTTCTTTGGGTGTTGAGTTTAAGAGGTTCTTTATAGATTTTGGATACTAGCTCTTTATCTGATGTCTCATTTGCAAATATCTTCTCCCATTCTGTCGGTTGTCTTTTGGTTTTGTTGACTGTTTCCTCTGCTGTGCAAAAGTTTTTATCTTGATGAAGTCTCAATAGTTCATTTTTGCCCTTGCTTGCCTTGCCTTTGGCAATGTGTCTAGGAAGAAGTTGCTGCGGTTGAGGTCAAAGAGGTTGCTGCCTGTGTCTTCCTCCAGGATTTTGGTGGATTACTGTCTCAGATTTAGGTCTTTCATCCATTTTGAGTCTATATTTGTGTGTGGTGTAAGCAAATGGTCCATTCTTCTGCATGTGGTTCTCCAATTTTCCCAACACCATTTGTTGAAGAGACTGTCTTTTATCCATTGGACATTCTTTCCTGCTTTGTCACAGATCAGTTGACCATAGAGTTGAGGGTCCATTTCTGGGCTTTCTATTCTGTTCCATTGACATATATGTGTGTTTTTGTGCCAGTATCATATTGTCTTGATGATTATAGCTATTAAGATCTTGAAGTCTGGAATTGTGAGGCCACCAACTGTTTTTCTTTTTCAACATTCTTCTGGCTATTCAGGGTCTTTTCTTGTTCCATACAGATTCTGGGGTTATCTATTCCATTTCTTTGAAAAAAGTTGATGGTATTTTGGTAGGGATTGCATTAAATGTGTAGATTGCTCTAGGTAGCATAGACATTTTCACAATAGTTGTTCTTCCAATGCATAAGCATGGAACGTTTTTTCATTTCTTTGTGTCTTCCTCAATTTCTTTCGTGAGTGTTCTATAGTTTTCAGAGGACAGATGATTTGCCTCTTTGGTTAGACTTATTCCTAGGTATCTTATGGTTTGGGGTGCAATTGTAAATGGGATTGATTCCTTAATTTCTCTTTCTTCTGTCTTGTTGTTGGTATATAGAAATGCAAATGATTCCTGTGCATTGATTTTATATCCTGCCAATTTACTGAGTTCCTGTATGAGTTCTAGCAGTTTTGGGGTGGAGTCTTTTGGGTTTTCCACATAAAGTATCATA